ACCAAAAGCCAGAGCAACCTGTTAAGAAAAAGACACGAAAACAAATGTTTACTTCATCATGGTTAGAAGATCCGTTATTTAAAGGCTGGTTGGGACCTATTGAGAATCACAAGTTGAAAGCAAAATGTAAAGCTTGTAATCAAATAATGGGTGCTAAAAAATCAGATTTAGTGAATCATTCGAAATCAAAAAGGCATGCCACTAATGTACAAGCAATTTCGAATGTAAGAACGTTAGATAGCACTTTTCAGTCTCGGGAAGCACGTGAGTTGGAAAAACGGCAAATATTTACTTGATTAAGATATAGTCTTTTAGTTGTAAGTCATTATATAAGTTTTAGAACTGTTGATCATATAACAGGAGTTAGTCAATTATGTTTTACAGACCCAGATCTCTCTAGCTCACTTAAATTAAAAAGATCCAAATGCATAAGTATAATTAAAAATGTACTGGTTCCTGTTATTAAAGACGAAATAATTTCAGAATGTGAAAATAAACCATTTTATATTTTATTGGATGAGAGTACAGACCTGAGCAATACAAGGCTACTATGCATTCTTGTAAGATATGTTCATAAAAATTCAATTAAAGCCCATTTATTAGATGTAATTAACATAAACGCAGATGAAGGTACCGCCAAAGGTTTATACTCTATTTTTAAAAAATGCGTTATATCCAATCAAGTAAAAATTACCAATATTGTTGGATACTGTTCCGACAACGCTAGTGTTATGATGGGCAATAACGAATCTTTCAAAACTTATCTTTTAAAAGATAATCCTAATATAATTGTCAATGGCTGCATTTGCCACTCTGCTCATTTAGTGGCGGTGGCGGCAGCTGAAAAGATTCCAAGCAACGTTGAAGCTCTTTTACAAAACTTATATTCTTACTTCTCAAGAAGCCCAAAAAGGCAGTGTGTTCTTGAAGAATTACAGGAATATTTCAAAAATTCAAAATTAAAAATTTTAAGCCCTAGTAAAACAAGGTGGCGTGCTTTATCCAAATGTGTTGATAGAGTTATGGATCAGTGGGACATCTTGCTTAGCCTATTTAGATTAGCTTCCATTGAAGACAAACATCCTGTAGCAAATGTAATACTTAATGAGTTACAGAATCCATTTGTTAAGGCGTATTTAATGATTTTTAAATTTGTGTTGCCCATTTTTAACCAATTTAATGCTCTCTTTCAATCAGAGAAAGTTATGCTCAATATCATATCAATAGAGAGTGAGCGATTTGTACGTCATCTATGTACAAACTTTATGCGACCAGAATATTTTAAAAATGAGAAATTATATAATCTAAATCCTAATGATCCCCACTGCTTATTACCAATTGAACAAGTGAATGTTGGTCCGCATACAATGGATGCAATAAAACACTGCAATAACTCGGCAATCGAACGATTTAAATTAAAATGTGTCACATTTTACCAAAAATCGGTAGAAGAGTCCCTTAAAAGATTTCCTATCAAAGACAACTTCTTTTCAGAGTTAAAGTTTCTCTCACCGGTTGATGTGATGAACAATCGTCTTATTATAAGTGATACCTTTCATGACGCCGTTTTAAAAAAATTTGCCCTTCATATTGAAACCGAAAAGGCAATTTTGGAAATAAAGAAAATATGTATTTATTTTAGTGATAGTGAGAAAGAGGAAATTTTAAAAACAAAAAGTAATGTCATTGAATTTTGGTCGTTTGTAAACGACCTCAAAAATTTTAATGACGAATATTTATTTCACAATATAGGTAAACTGGCTCTAATCATTTTAACATTGCCTCATGGAAACGCCGATGTTGAGCGAACTTTTTCTTATATGCTTGATTACAAAACAAAAAAAGGAAATAAAATAATACCATCAACTTTGTCTGCACTACTTACAATTAAATTAGACTTGGAATCAAAAAAACAGTGCTGTTTATCCTATAGTTTTAATGAGAATCATTTAAACAAATATAAAAAGAATTTATATAATGTAAATAAGGAAGAACCAGCTAAAGAAGAAGTAATTTCTGATTCTGACTGTGAATAAAATAAGCAAACGTAGGCATTTCCACGTTTCCGCTTCTTCTTTGTCCTTATTTTTTGTTTTTTTTTTCTATTAAGATTAAGATATTGGTGATAGTTTCTATTTTTTTATTAGTTCCTAATTCTAAACCAAAGGCAGTTTTGTTTTTTTAGAGGTATACTTTTTATGTTTTTACGAAAAATTGCAATTATATTACGTTACTGTTTGTATTTTTAGTAGGGTTTTTATACAGTGTTTAAAAAAAAGTAAATATGTAAAAAATATATTTGTTGTTTATTTTAAGCCTCCCCCCCTTCAATTTTTAGACCGTAGCGGCATGTAGCGGAATTTTGCGATACGTGTGACGGATATTTTACTCTGGCAACACTGGCGCCAAAGTAGATGAGCTGTTAGTAGCATCATGTCTGAGCAAGAGTTGCACACTTTTGTTGCGCAACGCATTATCATCATATCGCGGGAGGGCGTAAAATCTTCCGAAATTTCGCGTCGATTAACAGCACAGATCGGCGATAAGACAGTTTTAAGGACACAGGGGAAAAAAGATTCCATAAAGTATCGAAAGCCTGGAGAGGCAGCACCGTGAAAAGCCAAGACTAGTCTTTCTACAAGAAAAGTTCCTGCAACGGTATTTTGGGATTCCAGAGGTGTAGTGTTAGTTTATTTGATTTAAATTGACCTAGCAGCGAAAAAGGCGAGGCATTCCATTCTGCTCCATGACAACGCCTCGGCCACACACAGCTGCATTGACCCAAGGAAAATTGTGCGAAATTAATTGGGAAACACTTGAACCCCCGCCTTACAATCCCGATTTGTCGCCACTTTTGCTACCTTCTTTTCAACAGTTTTTATCCCGTCTGGTCTACTAGGGTCATCTCCTCGAACAAATAATTCTACCGATATCATTTCTTTGAAAAATATAAGTGATGAAAACGTAATTAGGGCTTCGAAAAGATTAAAGAACAAAATGACGTCTGGATGTGATGGTATTCCAAGTTTTTTCGTTAAAGATTGCATTCATATACTAGCGAAACCTCTGGCTTCCATATTCAACCTAATTCTAAAATCAGAGACATATCCAAATATCTGGAAGACCTCTAAACTATGTCCTATTCACAAAAGTCGAGATATCTCTGATATTTCCAACTATCGCCAAATAGCAATCCTGTGCAATTTCAGCAAGTTGTTTGAGATCATCGCATATGAAACGGTTTACTGCTCGGTCAGGGGTGCAGTCTCTATTAAGCAGCATGGGTTTATGAGAGGCAGATCTACGGTCACCAACTTGGCTCTAATTACTCAGTACATTTCTGAAGTACTGGACGGTCAGAGACAAGTTGATGTCATCTACACAGATATTCAGAAGGCGTTTGATCAAGTTGATCATTATGCACTTGTGGATAAGCTTAAAACAGTGGGTATGTCTGATGCAATGCTGTCGCTCATGAATTCATATTTGAGGGTTAGAAGGTTATTTGTCGAATATGGTGGTCATAGGTCGAGTTACTATCGGGCGACGTCTGGGGTACCTCAATGGTCAAATCTAGGTCCATTATTGTTTTTAATATTTATTAATGACTTGTCTTTTGAACTGAAGTGTTTCCATTTGTTTTTCGCTGATGACCTTAAAATCTGCACGTCAGTCAAGACAGTCGAGGATTGGCGTCATGTTGCAAAATGACTCTAATTTCGTCATGGTTTTCACAAAACTGTCTCAGTCTGAATGTTTCGAAATGTAAAGGTATGACTTATACAAGAAAAGTTAACTATTTAATTTATGATAATTATAAGATCAATGGTCAGGTTATAGACAGGTGCACCTCTTATAGAGACCTTGGAGTCATTTTTGATACCAAGCTAACGTCTACTGAGCATATACTCAATATCTCGTCGGCTGCCACTCGACTACTTGGTTTCTGTATCAGAAACTGGAAGGGTTTCTCCAATGTTGATACATTAATGACTTTATTTTTTACTTTTGTCAGGAGCAAGTTGAAGTATGCGACTCTGATCTGGTCTCCTATATACCAAAATTCTGTCGTGATCCTTGAGGTCATTCAACGTAAAGCTTTAAAGTATTTTCTCCTGAAATGCACAGGTTCTTATCCAGAAAGGGGTTGTGACCATAGTGCCCTATTAAATTTTTTCAATTTGGATTCACTGTCAACAAGACGAAACATATTTGCTTTGTCGTTTTTGTATGGCCTCATTCACAATAAAATTGACTGTCAAAATTTACTTGAAAAAATATGTTTCCGCGTTCCAAGGCTAGGGAGTCGACAACAAACGGCATTCTATTGTCAAGCTGGCCGTACAAATGTTATGACAAAATCGACAATTGATCTCATGTGCTGCGTCATGAACAGTGTTACTGAATCGTGTGATATTTACAGTGACAGTTTTGCATCGATTATTAACTGCTATAGATCATCCAGTGTTATTTAGACTGTGTTGTACTATAGATTTAAGTCCAAGAACCATGTCTCTTTGATTGTTATTTTTGTTCAGCGTTTCCTGTAATTGGGTTTCACCTCTTGGAAATACATAAATAAATAAATAAAAAGTACTGTAACAGAAGTCCGGTTCATATTTGATTCACCCTCGTACATACAATTCGCAATGACATACAAGAGTGGGTATAATATTATCCTCTAGTTGTGGATGACATCACTTGGCTTGCAGCCATTTTACTTGTCTCACGAGGTTTCTGCTTTAAACACTGGCCGGTTCCATCGCTTCCTAGTACTAATGACCTTGACCAGTTCAAAGCGTTCATCGAAAAGATCCTTTAGCATCTTTATAATAGTCGTACTTCTGTATTTAAGCTGTACCTTCACGACATTTTTGTATGAAAAGGAGGCTTGAAAAAACCTTTCGCAAAGTTGGTCTTATAATAGTACGCCTCTGTAACCCGTAACCTTTAGTTAATCTTTGATTTTTAATCATATAAACAGTTTTTTTATCGTGAATGGTTTTTATTTTGAGTCGTACGCGTTTGTTTACAATATAACGTCAAATCATACTCTAATCTGTATATACAGATATGTAGACTACTATCTACAACAACATACGGTTTCAATATTGTGCAACACTTATCATAGGCAGTAGCAGTAAAAACTAACAGCGCATAAATCTAATGAATAATAAAAATGCTTAGAGTTACTATCAATACACGTAAAGATTAAAGCTGTAGCAGGGTATTCAAGTCTAAAGCTAAAAGGAAAAAGTGTTGAGAAAATGAAATAAAATTTGTCTTATATTACATTTATTCGTTATCTATACCATAACAGTAGGATCATTGAACACAACATTGTTACCAGAACGAAATGTCTTCAATACACTAACAAACGAATTGACTTACCAAAAGTTCAATAAAGTAACACAGTAATTTTTAAATATATGTACCAACAACCCTCTTAGCTGTTATACAATCAATTTGTTCTTTAAACAGTTCTACCATTGCTTCCTCGTTCTTCGTAGCTTTCTTGGCCAAGTTCTTCCCACAACGATCCACCATCTTCAATAGTTCATCTCTTTCTTCCTTCAACTCGTAATTATCCGGCTTCAAGTTGATGAGTGCTTTGAACAAGCCAGACAACAAGTGTTTGAGCTCCAAGTATTCCTTATCACGCTTCAGTCCGCGATATCTCTTGATTCTCTGATCTACTACCCGTATCGACTGTTTTATTTGATTTAACCGCTTTTGCGGTAACCTTTTTCCCTCAACATCTATCATCTTTCTTCTGTATTCCGCAAGGAGCTTGGTCATCTTTTTGTAACAAAGGTTGAATTCTTCGATGTCATTTTCATCCACGTCATTGCTCCTGGTCAAGTGAAGCATGTTGGTCTGGAAGTCCAAGACTGTGTTGTACTCGGCACTAGGTTCTTTTTGTCTTGGGGTAGGAATAGGGCTTTTAGGATTTGATGTGCTAGACGTTCCATCACTTTGCGACTGATTTTTCATTGCTAACTTTGCTTCATCTGTCTCGTTTTTGCTTACTGTAGAAGCAATTTCCAAGTTTTCATAATCTCTAAACGATGCACGATGAATATTGTCGTCCTCGTTTGTACTTGAGTCTAACTTTTCTTCTACATCATCTTTATTGTAAACCAGTTTATTATCTTTCACTTCAATTATCTCATATTCATTTTCGTCCAATATTTTATCTTCTGCTTCATTTCTTTTTGTTTTATTTGCCTCAGTATTGCTCACAATGTCTTTACCTTCAGTGTATACTTCAGGATCTTGTAGTTTCGTTGGTTTTGTTTTCCTAGGGAAAGTTAATGTCGCGTAGCTGGTTGTTAAATTTTCAGAACTTTGAGATGTTTTACTGTCTAAGAAAGGGATGTTTCTTGTGTCTCCTTTTGCAGATGTAAAACTGTTACTTTTTTCGACAGGACTACGATGCCGTCTGGTATTCTCTATATGTCCTTCGCTATCTTTAGCTCCGATAGACTTCTTGTCAAGAATCAAGTTACCAAATGCAATTTGGTTCAAAACATTGTTTTTCTCTGATTTTCCTCTATCTGAAACAATAATTTTGCCACCTGAAAATTCATTCTCGAGATACTCATTAAGAATGTTTATTTTATGACTAAAGGTCTGAGGATAAAATTTTTATTCTCTTATTACATGATGTCATAACAAAAGTTAACACTTGGATGCTTTTAAGTCATTATTCACTAAAGACAATATTTTTTGAATATCTCCAATACCTAAAGGCCGTATCCTCAGTCCTTCGTGAAATGGTAGGATGCCTTTAAGGTCTTGATTTTCATAGTTTTCTACTGTTCCGAGTCAGCGGTCTATTTTGAGGTTATGTTACAAATATCTGCTAGTATCAAATTGTTCATGCTTTTGGTTTATATCATCTGCCTGATATATCCTGCGATTCAAAAAGAAAACGTAACCTCACAATAGGGGACCGCCGATGTTGACACGGAACAGGTGAAATCTAGAAACCCCAGCCTCTGTGAAGGAGAGAAAAGACTATGAAAATCAAGGAGGTCATAAAGGCATCCTGCAATTATTGTGGGAACGACTGACAATACGGCCCTAAGTTTGGGCATGTCAAGATATATATACTAAGTGACATATAAATCCGAACACCCAATAATGTGTGGATGCACCCTGATGTGCTACGCATTCTCCAACGCGCCTAGGCATGCTTCCGATCAGGTGGTCAATATCCTCCTGTGGTATCTTATTCCAGGCAACCACCAACTCCTCTCGAAGTGCTTCTAGAGTCTGAGGAGGACGTTGCAAATTGAGCAATCTCCTACCCATCATATCCCACACGTACTCAATTGGGGATAAGTCGGGAGATCTTGATGGTCATGGTAACAATGTGACATCATTATGTTGAAAGAAGTCTATTGTGACTCTTGCAACATGTGGTCGGGCATTATCTTGTTGGAAAGTTGGATCTGCAAGGGTGTCAAGATAGGGTAAAAGATGGGGTTCTAGAACTTCGTGAATATAACACTGCGCGTTCATGTTACCTCTGATGAAGATTAAAGGTGACCTGGAACCATAAGCTATAGCACCCCAAACCATAACTCCAACAGTGTGATGAACATGTCTTTCAACAAAAAACTGTGGATTCCTCCTTTCACCACGTCGCCTTCTAACCCTGGCACGACCATCGTGCATGCCTAAACAAAATCGAGACTCGTCACTAAAGACAATACTGTTCCATTCCTGATCCCAGAGTGACCGTTGTCTGCACCACTCAAGGCGATTACGTCGGTGTTCTCGAGTTAAAGGGAGGACCCAGTGTGGCCGGTATGAAAACGAGCCAAAACTTCTCATTCGTCGGTAAACACTTCGCATGCTAATAGGTCTTCCGTGTTCTGCAAACCATTCATTTGCAATGGACCTGGTAGTGGAGAAACGGTCCCTTAAGTCCAATAATCTTAGGCGGCGATCTTCACGGTCTGTTGTTCCACGGCGGCGTCCAGTGCCCCTTGCTCTTTGCGTACGGCCTTCTCGAAGCAATGCCTGACAACACCTAACCACAGTATCTACACTTCTTTGCACTCTAACTGCAATTGCCCGAAAAGAAAGTCCAGCTTCCCGAAGTCCCACTATACGGCCCCTATCAAACTCACTAAGTTGACGAAATCGTACAGGTCTCCGTACTCTAGGCATCGTAACCGATCGTAAAGGATGTCAAGAACCAAAATCCGCCAACGTTGATTCTTTACTGCGGCTGAAATATTCATTTTTAGAGCGTTAGTGAATTAAAAAAAAGCAGTATAAAAACCGGAATGTCCAACTGATAAGGCTGAAAATTTTTTCACTTGTTATTTACAGCAAGATAAATACATTCACCAACTTTTATTAAAATAAAACCATTTAAACTGGGTGTTCGGATGTATATGTCACTTAGTATAACTACAATGGGAGTATGCGCAATTTTCAAGCATATCTGGTTATTGATACTTAGTAAAACAGTGTCATGTTCTCTATTCATTGACAGCGTTTTTACCACAACATACAATATATTTCTAAAAATCTCTGATATTTGTTTAACTTATATGAACAAATGAATCAATGGTTCAAACTTTGGACACCTTTTACTCTGTTTCATGTTAGCTGCAGTGTATATGAACAGTGCTACGTTAATCTACTTGACATCATTGGTTTAATAATTATTCCGCGACCATCATTCACGCCTCTAGAGTTACAACGGAGAGTCGCATAGTTACTGTACTATAAAATATGTTAAACAAAACATCATTGTTACCTTTGCTAAATGTTCCAGATTGTGAATCATCGCTTCGTATGTTTTCATGCGTTGTTTTGTCTTCGTTCAGCTCACCAGATGGTTTGCGAGGTGTCCAAATTCCATATGTAAATTTTTTATCGTTACTAGCAGGTTTTTCTTGCGAGTTGCCTCTAAACTTTGGACCTATGTGCTCGTCCTTTTTGAACTCGTTAGATTTTCTATGAAGCGTTAAAGTACCGTTGATTATGCCATCTCTTCTAACTTCTTCTTCTTCTTCTTCTTCGTCATCAAAACTTGGACCAACGCAACTGAATCTTTCAAAAAGTTTCTTTGTCTTCACGACTTTTTTCTTCTCTCCTATACTGGTACTTTCTTCTGTACTATCCTCACTTTTGTCTTCCATGATAGGTTTGATTCCGAATTTGACCTTCTCCGGGGCACTTTGTTGGATGGACATGATAGCTTCTTCCATGACATCGCTTTTGGTCGACCTTTCCTCCAATAATTTGCTCTGCTCATCTATGAAGGTGCTCAAACGGCTCAGTCTCTTCTGCCTCATCACCTTCAATTTCTCCTCCACCTCACTCAAGGCTACCTTGTTTTCGTTGCGGCGAAAAAGCTTAGGAGTCTGTGGGTTGTCCATTGTTTCAAGGCACACCTGATTCGCACTACGCTAGACTGGCAACACGGCGACGCGACGTCGACGGTGTATCAGAAATGTAATGCACGATCGCGTTATCTCGCATGAGCTGATGATAAGATCAAGCCACGGTGATTCACTGCTAATATGATTGTTATTGTACGGGAAAATTATGTCAAAGTTTAGAATGATACGCGCGTTGCGTAATTTGTCCAGCTAGGTTACAAAAGTCCAGAGGCGGATGGACCCACCGTTATGGCACCGTTAAAAATATATTGAAATAGAAATTCTCTCATTAACTTGTTCTAGAATTAAAAAAATATCCACGTGCGTTTAGTTAAGCGTACTTAGGTAATAAACCGATATTTTATTTTTGTAGTAGAAAATGACTACTTCTAATTTAAAACGAAAAAAGGGCGGTGCCGAAAGGCAGATGGAAAAGAAAAAGGAGCACTTGGCTCTAGAAGCAAGAAAATGTAAAAATTTACAATCAATTTTTGGAAGTACATCAGCACAAAACAACACAATTCTATCTGTGTCCGCCACAGACAGTTCCACAAGTCCAGACAATGGCTGCGTCATACTAACCGAACTGCAAAACACGGAAAGCGAAAGGAACATTGACGAGTCACAGGATCAAGAAAAGAAGAAATAGTCAACGATGAACAAATTACACATAATCCAAGCCCGAACTCTGAAATTAGAAATAATGTGGAAGATCAGAATTCGGAATATTTTTTCAAAAGACCTACTCAAGGTGAATTAAATATATTTTTTCAATACCACTCTAAAGTCCCAACAAGTCACGAGAAATTATTCAACTGCCAGGCAGCCTTAAAAACTAGTAATGGAACCCCACGACAATGGTCAACATATATATATATATATATATAGCAAAAGCACAGATACTAGTGCTTTTATTACTGGTATGTCAGATTGGAGGTCGTGTATCAACGTATTGAAGAGCACCAAAATTCCGTAATGCACGGAAGTTATTCGTCTGCATATTTTCGATTTTGTAGTAATACTTCAATTAATAAACTATTATTTACAAGTCAACTGACTCTGCAACAAGAAAATATAACAAAAAATAGGCAGGTTTTAGATAATAATAATAATAATAATAATAATAATAATAATATTTATTTTCTCTAAAATCCAGGGAACATGAAACGAGTAAATAAATATAATATATCCATAGGAGGACAACGCCTGTGCATGGATCATATGTATGTTGAATTGCAAAATATAATAAAATAGAGAGAAAAAAGAAATTATTGGTAAGAATGGTAGAGCATTTATTGTGTAATATTTGAGATTATTTTATTAATTTGATTTCTCCCAATCGTGTTAATAAATTTTTTTAATTTTTTTTTGAAGCCTAATGTATTGCGTAATTGTTTTAAATTATTTGGTAAATGTTCGTACAATTTTGGAGCTATATACAGGTGACATCGTTTCATTAGGGATTTGTTTGGTTTAGGAACATTTTTTGCGTGTAATTTATATCTGGTTTTATGATTATGTTTAATTATGTCGTGTTCACTGATAGTTTTGTGATAATGAGTGATGGTATGTAAGAAGTAAAGTTGTTTAGTATCATATACTTGTGCATCATTATATAAGTCATTAGTTGGGTATAATTTTGATTTGCCTAACATTGATTTTAAAATTCTTCTTTGAAGTACATCTAAATCGTTAAAGTATGTCGTGCATGCAGCATCCCACACTACTATACCATATGTTATGTGTGGCTCGACTAAAGCTTGATATATTATTCGTAGATAATATTCAGTTAATATACCGGTTAGAAATTTTATTTTATATGCTATGAATCTAATTTTCTTTAGTATGTGAGAAATATGTACATCCCATCTCAAGTGGGGATCTAAATAAATTCCTAAATATTTTGTATCATTAACTCTATTGATTTTTATATTTTTATCATTTACCTTAAACCGAAGGTGGTTATATTTTGGTAGATGATTAGATAGTGATGAAAATGGTAAAAAATGAGTTTTAGTTAATTGTTAATTTTCGGTTATTAAACCACTGAATAATTTTGCAAAAGTCATTTTGGATAATATCTTTTAAGTCGTTCCAATCCTTACCTTTATAGAGTATAGCTGTATCGTCTGCAAAACTGACTATTTTACCAGTACTGTTAATTTTGAATATATCGTTTAAATAAATATTGAATAACAGAGGACCCAAAATTGTACCTTGTGGAACACCACATTTAACAAACATTTCTTTACTATACGAGCTTAATAATTTTACTGATTGCGGTCTATTTGATAAATAATTTTCCATTAAAGTATACATCTTTCCACGAAAACCTATTCTTTCTAAGATTTCCAAAAGTATATTGTGGTTAACTGTGTCAAACGCTTTTTGTAAGTCCACAAATACGCATATCGATGGTACTTTTCCATCTATATTTTGGGTTATTTCATCTACTATACTTAATACCCCATCTGTTGTAGATTTGCCCGCTATAAAACCATATTGATTTGAATTTAGAATTTTGAATTTATTAAGAAAATTAATCATTTTATTAAGGAGTAATCTCTCAAAAATTTTAGCTAAACTTGATATAAGTGAAATAGGTCGATAGTTAGTGACGTCCGTATTATCATTAGATTTATAGATAGGTATGATGATTGCTGTCTTGAAAGCTGATGGAAATACTCCAGATTGGAAGGATTTGTTAATGATATAAGCAAGTGGTTCTGTTATTTGTTTGGCCAGTATCTTTAGATGTTCAGCTCTAATTTCGTCAACTCCAGGGCTTTTTTATTTTTTAGAGTCATAATGGCATTGAAAACATCCTGATAGTCTACTTCAGTTAATACAAATGAATTATTCAGTCTTGTTTCATGCAGATGAATATCAGTATTTTGTTTGATATTATTTGCTAAGTTTCCTCCTATATTCGTGAAAAATTCTATGAACTCATCACATATTTGCTGAATATTGTCTGTTTTCTGTCCTGTTTTTGTTTTTATTTCATTAATATTGTTTTTTGAATAGGATGACTTATTGAATATATCATTGACAGTGGACCATAGGTGTCTAGAGTCATGTGAATTATTATTCAATTGTTTTATATAGTAATTTTTTTTTGCTTTTCTCAAAAGTTCTATAAATTTGTTTTTATACTGATTATAATGATCTATATTTTCTTTCGTGGGTAAATATTTCATGAATTTATACAGTCTTTCTTTTTCGTTTGCAGATTTTATTAGTCCTTTGGTCATCCAATCATTTCTGCTTTTTTCCTTGTGACTTATTTTAACCTTATTAGTACTAACTTCAATTACTTTTTGAATTTTGTGTATTAATAAATTTGTAGCTTCGTCTAAAGAATTTGTTAAAAAAATTTCGTCCCACGATTCCGTTTGTGCGTTAAATATTAATTTTGAGTTGTCAGTGAAATATTTGTATTCAAGGTTTCTTTCATTTTTTGCCCTTGGGCAGTTCTGGTTTTTATTTTGTGAAGATATCAATAATACAGTGGAATAATGATCTGTACTATCGGTTTCATAGATAATAGGCATGTAAGAAAAAATATTGGAAATATCCTTTATAAAGCAGTGATCAATGCAGGTTTAACTGGTGGGTTGTGTTACTTTATTTATGTATGATAAAAAACCATTACTTGATAAAATGTTTAAATATTCTTTCACCATAGAATTTTCCTCTAAAATGTTTATATTGATGTCGCCTATTAATATTTGATTATGAAGGTGATTTTTTTCATTGTTTTTTAATAGTTCATCTATGTCTCTTATAAATGTATGAGGATCTGAAGATGGTGGTCGGTAAACACAAGTAATTTTGACTCTACTATTTTCAATTTGCATTGTTAGATTGATACCTTTTAGTTCATTGTTGATTGTAAATATGGTATGGTTATAAGGCAGATTGTTTCGTACATACACCATCACTCCATCGTTTTGATTATGGTTACCAAAATTATACAATGTATCGTACCCTTCTAAATGAAACAGAGTCACATCGCCCACTTGCCATGTTTCGGATAGAATGATTATATCTATATCACTTTGTATTCTTTTCAAAATTAATTTAAAGTAGTCGAAGTTATGTTTTATACTTCTGATGTTCATATGATAAATTCTAACAGATATTTCAGGATTTTGTAAAAAAGAATCTAGCTATTTATTTATTGATTTTAACGTAGTTTGTAATAATTTTATCTTTTATACTTTTATTGTCATCCGCTTAACCATATTTAAGTGTGTGTAATCTGCACTGTTTGTTATTATATGTATTGTTTGTCATTTATTTTCTTCTTGTAACTGAGCCCTTCTGTTATATTGACTTGTGTTATTATTATTATTATTAAAAGCCACTTTTTACTAGATCAATCTTCTTTAAATTTATTCAGTATTTCATTCACTTTATCATGAAACATATTTTCCAATTCCTTAACAATACGTAGAGTCTCTTGAACATCTTTACTGGTAATCTTACTTTTAGAACCAAGTTCTTCTAGCCTATGATAAGATAACGCGACATCGACACTTCCTTTTGTCAACAAAACCTTTTGTTGCTTTGGAGACACTTTAGCCAAATTTTGCGGCTTCGGAGGAACACTTGGCTTCTCTCTGACATCTTTAGTTTTGTTTTGATTCTCCATTGGCGAAGGTGGAGGCTCCACAAATACGTCACTATCATCAAACTGATTCTGGTAAGTAGAATTTTGACTTGAAGCATATTCAACTTCTTCTTCACTTGGCATCTTGCTATCTTCTGCTGTGTCATAAATGCTGTTGTACAATACTTCCTCATACTCCGCTTCAGATGATCCACTTCCACGATCCCAACTTTCACAGTCATCTATGGTTGAAGTAGTACTTTTGTTATAAGTATCTTCAGAAGATAGACTAGAGGTAGTTGCATTTTCTATTGACGAACTTAGTCTGTAGGTCATGCAGTTTAATTTTGAAGCGAGGCTTTTGAAGGTTTTCTTTCGTAATTTGGGATGATTTGGGTTTTCCATGTGTGCTTCTTTTGGTGGTGCTTCAGTCGTTCTAGGATTCAAGCAATTGGTGGGTATATCTTCATTCATTGGTTAGCTGAAGATAAAAACAATTTCGTTGTTTATTTAATTATTCATTTTTTGCATTCAGAGAGGTGTGGTACATGATAATAATAGTTAGACAAATGCAAGATGAATATGAGTATGTTATTATTAGAAATATCTTAATTACCATTTTTTTTGTTACCTACCTTTTATGTTTTTATAATCACTACCTATAATGTGCAGGAATATTTTTCCCTTATGTTTATAGTTAAAGATACGGGCCAATACTGTTTTATCAAGATCTCAGATAACGATTTTACAACGAACTGATATGAAATGTAACATGGGTTGCCTATGCGACATGACCACATACTCACTGAACATCAGGATATAGGAAGGTTTCACTATTGGGTGGCCAATGTGGCGTCATTTAAGAAGCAAAATCTATGCTACTCAGCCAATCTCATTAGAAGACCTGCGACAAATATTGCAAAATGTGCGGCAACGTTTTGATCAAAATCTTTATTATTTCATGGAGAGTCATGGTGGCCATTTTCAACATTTACTTGCCTAACGGGTCAGCTCATTCTTCATTTTTAAATTATTTTGCTGCCAAATGTATTGATCTCCACTAATGATGATGTACTAGTTTTATTTAAGCTTTAAATCAATAAATCTTCAAAACTACTGAACTGAAGTACATTAATTTTATATCATTATAAAGGGAATTGAAAGACCTTTATAATAAGGTATCACTCGACCCCCCTTTCCATTTAAGATTTTAGGGTTGGTGTCACCCCCGTCTAGGGGGCTGCAAGTGTTAACGTGATTTTTTGCCAAACTTGTGTCCCCCTCGAGAAAAGAATCGACGGGTCTGAGCGTTTTTCCAAAAAAAACTGAGCTGCCAGCAAGTGCGTCTGTTTCGTTTTCGATGCGCCACCCTGTATATATATATATATATTAATAAAGAGATTAAAATGAATGAAAAAACCATTACTTCTGTTATTTAAATTAAATTATGTATGGATAAATGAATAACTAAAGATTAATTTATTTTTTTAATATAAAAATTATTGAAGGAAAAAAATTATCTTATGTTAGTAATTTTTTTTTGATCATACTAAATCTCGAAAATTTATCTTTGAGATTGAGACGATTCCGTTAAGAATTATTTACTTGGGAATGAGTAGATAATTTGTAGTTAATAAATATACGGGGATTTATTAATTTGAATTGTGCTACCATTGCACCCCCTGTGAGAGTTATTTTAGTGAAAGTTTTTGAGTAGATGTTAATTTTGAAAATTGTTATTAATTTTATATATATATATATATATAGGTGAAAAATTAAAGCTTCCGCCTTTTGTTGGGTACTTCGACAAAATTTAAGCAAAGAGGACTCTTTATACTTTTTTAATTCTCTCTAGCTTTCAATGGACTTTGCCATCATCATCAGGAGCTGCAGTTACAATGATAACAGTAGCAACAAAAGTGTAAAATGAATTTAAATTGACTCAACTTACAGTAGTATGTGAGGATGTTGCTAATTGTTGTTTACGTATAGGATGAGGGAAACGTCCAGTAACATGGTGAGAGCTGGATACATGGTACAATGGTCAAAATTATATAAAATATGACAAGAACAAGTTAAAGACAGATTAAAAATTATTTAAAAACATTAGAGCATTACATCGTGAAGCCACTTGATGATTGCACAAAATGGTGGTCATGGAATAATGAGTGAGGTGAACCCTTTGACAGAAGGCCGAAGGTTGTCAATGTCTGTGTTGAAAGATGGAACGAATTGTGGGCGTGTGCTAAAACGTTACTTATCATCAAGTGGCTTCACGATGTAATGCTCTAATGTTTTTAAATAATTTTTAATCTGTCTTTAACTTGTTCTTGTCATATTTTATATAATTTTGACCATTGTACCATGTATCCAGCTCTCACCATGTTACTGGACGTTTCCCTCATCCTATACGTAAACAACAATTAGCAACATCCTCACATACTACTGTAAGTTGAGTCAATTTAAATTCATTTTACACTTTTGTTGCTACTGTTATCATTGTAATTGCAGCTCCTGATGATTATGGCAAAGTCTATTGAAAGCTAGAGAGAATTAAAAAAGTATAAAGATTCCTCTTTGCTTAAATTTTGTCGAAGTACCCAACAAAAGGCGGAAGCTTTAATTTTTCACCTAACTGGTCTAGACGACAATGACCACGTCTCAAGTTATATATATATATATTCATTTATATATTTTAGTTTATTATTAATTGATACTTTTTGGTTTTATAAAATAAGTTATCAATTTATTATAATATAATGAAAAATATTTTATGTTTCATTTTCTTTTTTAGGTAAAAAATGGTTTTTTAGCTTAAAAATTAGGTTGTTCTTTTTTTATATGTAAGTTTTTGTTATAAATTGAAATTTATTTTACATACATATTTTTTCTGTGGTCATTTAAGATGAGTATCGATTACGTGAGATTTTTTCATTTAGTTTTGAAATTTTTCAAACCCCTCGAGAAAACTGAAGGTCTTGAATTTGACATTTTTTTTATCCATGTGGTGCCGCAGCTCCATGTAGGATGAATCGATCTTGAATTTTTTTATTTAGAAGTTGACATAATCGTATTCTCGGGCTTAGTGTCTCATTTTGCCAAGAATAAATAAAGACACATTTAAATGAACACTTTATTAAATATGCTCAACAAAGATCCTAATTTAGAAATCGGTCTAATAATACTCGATACAAAAATATAATAAATAGATTATCTTTTAAACGAAAGTACCAGAACTGTCGTCACTTGAGAACACATTATCATCTCCAGGATTTTCCTTCAACTTCCTAAGAAGCGCAAATATCCTGTTTGTGCAAGCATCTTTTCTGCTTTGCAAGTCTTCATTTACTGTCAATTTTCCTATCTTCACTTGCAGGCCTATCAATTTTTCATCTAGTTTACCTCTCAATTCATCATTGAGTTCTCCATTGACTTGGCCACTGATCTCGTCTAATTCCTTCTCTAACTCCGCAATACTTTCCACATCTTGTAATCTATCGTCCAATAGCGTTAGGGAGTCTACCACGTTTTGCTTCAAATCTTCCTTCCTTCTGTAGAATTCACTCTCCTTTGGTATATCCAGCTTCTTCAACTGGTTGTTAATCTTTAACAACCCGTCATCCAATACCTTATATCCTTCACTAGACTCCACGTCATTGAATTCCCGTATCTTCTTCTTCAGCTTTTCCAACTCTTGCTCTAACATACTCAGTTTATACTCAAAATATTCTTTATACGACTTTGGCGCTGTAGTTTTACTTTTCTCCAAGTCCGCAATGAAAGAACTGCTACTCAAGTATCCTTTAGGCTCACTAGTAGCTTGGAGGGAATTCAGTTTCGTCATTAAAGTTTCGAATCTCTTTATCAACTCTTTTTTCAAATCATCTTTGACGTGGGCTTGATCCAACTGATTTCTTATGGCCTTTAGCTCGTTTTCTATAATCTTCAAGTCATCCTTGCTACCTCTGTGGTTTTCAAGTCTACTTTTTACAGCGTCCAGTCTTTTCCTAAGTGTTCTGTATACCTCAGTTGCTTTAGCCTTTTTATCTAGAATATTACTGTAGTTGTAAATTTCCTTCAACAAAAAGTGCTTCTTCTGATACAATTCTGAATTCTCCGGAACTTTCATCGTATCGACCTTAGAGAAAAGCTCTGAGACGCTGCCGTCAAGCTCGTAATATCTTCTGTCAACATGAGTTCCAGAAAAGCATTCAATTTCTTGAACAACTGCCCTAAACTGTTGTTCCAATCGTTGAAGTTCCTTTTCTGGATCGATCTTTCCGGTTCGCTTGTTGATCTGTCTCACCATTTCATCCATTTTACCTGAACATTTCTTCTGTCTAGCTCTAAGCAGCGTATTGAAATTGTTACCGTTCAAACTAGCTTTCATCGCCATGACCTTTGTTGCTAACTTTTCCAAGTCTTCTGTCGATTTTGTATATCGTTCGAAGTTATTTTCTATATCTTCAATTTCTCTTTCGAAGTGTATTAAATCTTCAGTCTCCTTAGCCCTCTTGTCCAGCAGGTCCCCACAATGATAGATCTCCTTCAGCAGTCTGATCTTTTTGTCATGTAGTTCGCTGTCTTTAGGAAAGTCCATATCGTCCATCCTCAGAATCAACTTGATGGAAGACTCGTCCAGCTCGTAAAACTTATCATCCGAAGTTGTACCGACGAAATTTTCAATTTCGCCTTTGAGTTTCTTCATGCTTTCTTCAATATTATTCAGCTCTTCTTCAGCTCTGAGCTTTCTGCTCTCCTGCAGTGGCCACTGTTTGATGCTCTGCTTACTCAGAGCTATTTTGGCGTCTACGACGTTCTTCAACGTATCAACTTCGTTATACAAAATATGTTTTTGATGTTCGTCGTTTTCGTCCAAGTGCTTCAGTTGGTCCAAGCCTAGTTTCACGAGGTCTAAACGGCTCTTCAAACCGAGGAACAAGTTGATTCCGTTGGATGGAGTTGTATCTATGTCTTTCTTTATAGTCTGCAGGTCCAGTTTAAGCTTCGACAGATTTTCTTCATCTTCAGTCTTCGGGCTTTTGGACGAGCGAAAACTTTGATCTTTCATCGCTCGATGTTCCAATATCTTCAAATACTTTTCGGACTCCTTAACAATAAGATCAGCCAACGGTTTATCTTCTAGTTTCTCACTGGCGTCTAGGAGCAGTTTGTTCAATTCCTTTTCTAACTTATTGTAAAGTACTCCTTTATATGCCCCAGTGAAACGATTCACCTTTTCTTTTAACCCACTTAATATCCTTTTCATTTCTTTAATTTCTGGGTCTTCGTAATATACATTGTTTGCCTTCTTATCCAGCAGGTTCATCAACAAATATACCTTCTTGAGTACTTCTTCCCTCTGCTTAAGTATCATATCGTACCTTTGAGGAATCTCCACATTTTCTAAGAATCCTCTGCATTCTATGAGGCGATGTTTGAGGTTAGTATAAGCTTGATCACTCACTTTGCCCGAAAAAAGGTCGACCTCCTTTTCTAGCTGTTCCACCTTTTCTTGTAGCACCACAACATTTTCAAAAACATCCTCTATGGAGTTTCGTCTTTGGTTCAAGATGTTTTGTCCATCTATACGTTTCAGAAGTTCAGTCACGTCCTCCAAGACCTTGCTTGCGTGTTTCACGGTTGCGGGGTTGTAGTGTTTCATATAACCTTCAAGGGTTCCAACGTAAGATTCTAGTTTGTTCTTCAGGTGTTGCTTGTTTTGACTTTCATCGAATTTTTCTTTAATATAGTTCACTTGAGTTTTTATTTCTTCTATCTGAGAGAAACCGTTGTCTTGGACTTGAAGGGACTTGAGTTGCTGATTGATGTTTTGGATTTGTGGAGCATCTATCTCGTAATATTTCGCTTTAGTTTTGATCGCTAAGTTTTCCGACCGATCAATACTGTAACTGCTGGGGAATTTCGTGTACATCCTTGGGCTTACTGCTAGATTAGGCGTCGACCTATTCCATTTTGAAGTCAGTTTAGGTTGATCATCTCTACTCTCTTCGAGGACTTTTCTAGTTTCCAAGATTGAGATCTGTATTTTCTTCAACATTCCATCAATCCGATTAAGTTCGTCTTTTGGGATTTGGGAAGATGTCAAAGTGGCTTCGATGCATTTCCAAGAATTGTAGAATACTTCGACTTGTCTCAAGCATGATCCAGGTGGTCTGGATATTCTGTCAACAGCATCTCTAGACTTTGAAGCCTTTCTGCTGTGTATTAAGGCATACGATTCATTGATATTGTTAAGAAGTTGACTCTTCTGTTTTAACATATTTTTGTCTTCATCTTTTATGCTTTCCACGAAGGTTTGGAGACTTTGGAGTTTCACCTCAACATCGTTTTCGTCTTCATCTCTTCCACTCGCAATTGTTTTGATTATGTCCTCGTAGCTGGTCTGAGCCTTCGTCAGGTCAGATTGACTGCCTTTCTTTGTTGCTTGCTCTATGTACTTTTTCAACCAAGCAATCTTATCCATCATGTGAAGTTTGATATTTTTCGATTCATCGTCCGCCACTTCAATTGAAGGTAGTTTGTCACTAATATCTGTCAAGCTTTTTTGCGCACGTTGAATCCTCTTTGTATCTTCATCCCTTATTGCTTCTTTCAGAAGAAGGTCTGTACCATCCAAGCTGTGTCTCAAAGATTCAAGTTCTTTAGTTGCCTTTTCTTTTAGACTCTGTTTTGTCAAATACGACAAATCAGCGCTTCTTCTTATCTCTTTCATCGCCTTGTTGATCTTTTGGTACAAGCTGGTCGAAGCGGAGATCAGTCTTTCTTTTTTCTCTCCAAGAGGTGAGTTTTCAGGAACATCGATCATTTCAAGGTAAGTTGCTAGTACCTTGATGGTTTCTTGGTATACCCTGAGCTGCCTACTATCTTTGCTTTCTATAGCAACAGTTATTTGCGGTTTGAGCGTTTGGAGTTTGTTTTCGATATCTTGTATCGTAGGAATACCCTGTTTGTTAAGCGTATTGTTCTTAGTTTTCTTCGCCGGAGTTTCCAGTGAACCTGTAAGAGAAATTTGGGCATTAGAGATGCAGGTTGTCCAAAAAGATTCGTACACCCCTCTCCTCTATCGCAAACATACTGCTCAGACAAAAAGATAGCCAAGGTTGCATTAATCTATGACGACTTTGGTCAATATCTCGAAAATGTTAATAATGTATCTTTTTGAACTCACCGACCTTTGCTATGACCAAGGTCATTTTTAAGTGAAACGGAAATTCGCTTAAAAAATATAAAAGTCTTATTTTTGGCCCCTAATTTTACATCAGGTTGGTACAGCTTGTGAGTAAATAAAGAAAATTACATTATTTGATGCTGTTTATTTGACGCTTGGGACCAAGTAACGAAGAAACAGTGCAAAATTGCTTCCTCAAAGCAGGATTTAAGTATGAAAATATACTAAGTGACATATAAATCCGAACACCCAGTTTAAATGGTTTTATTTTAATAAAATTTTGTATAAGTACTTAATGAAGCATAATAAAAATTTCAAAATGATTGCACTGCTTTAAAGCTCTTTGACCTTTAATAATGTGTGGATGCACCCTGATGTGCTACGCATTCTCCAACGCGCCTAGGCATGCTTCTGATCAGGTGGTCAATGTCCTCTTATAGTATCTCATTCCAGGCAACCACCAACTCCTCTTGAAGTGCTTCTAGAGTCTGAGGAGAACGTTGCAAATTGAGCAATCTCCTACCCATCATATCCCACACGTGCTCAATTGGGGATAAGTCGGGAGATTTTGGTGGCCATGGTAACAATGTGACATCATTATGTTGAAAGAAGTCTATTGTGACTCTTGCAACATGTGGCGGGCATTATCTTGTTGGAAAGTTGGATCGGCCAGGGTGTCAAGATAGGGTAAAAGATGGGGTTCTAGAACTTCGTGGATATAACGCTGCGCGTTCATGTTACCTCTGATGAAGATTAAAGGTGACCTGGAACCATAAGCTATAGCACCCCAAGCCATAACTCCAACAGTGTGATGAACATGTCTTTCAACAAAAAACTGTGGATTCCCCCTTCTAACCCTGGCACGACCATCGTGCATGCCTAAACAAAATCGAGACTCGTCACTAAAGACAATAATGTTCCATTCCTGATCCCAGAGTGACCGTTGTCTACACCACTCAAGGCGATTACGTCGGTGTTCTCGAGTTAAAGGGAGGACCCAGTGTGGCCGGTATGAAAACAAGCCAAAACTTCTCATTCGTCGGTAAACACTTCGCATGCCAATAGGTCTTCCGTGTTCTGCAAACCATTCATTTGCAATGGACCCGGTAGTGGAGAAACGGTCCCTTAAGGCCAATAATCTTAGGCGGCGATCTTCACGGTCTGTTGTTCTACGGCGGCGTCTAGTGCCCCTTGCTCTTTGCGTACGGCCTTCTCGAAGCCATGCCTGACAACACCTAACCGCAGTGTCTAGACTTCTTTGCACTCTCACTGCAATTGCCCGAAAAGAAAGTCCAGCTTCCCGAAGTCCCACTATACGGCCCCTATCAAACTCACTAAGTTGACGAAATCGTACAGGTCTCCGTACTCTAGGCATCGTAACCGATCGTAAAGGATGTCAAGAACCAAAATCCGCCAACGTTGATTCTTTACTGCGACTGAAATATTCATTTTTAGAGCGTTAGTGAATTAAAAAAAAGCAATATAAAAACCGGAATGTCCAACTGATAAGGCTGAAAATTTTTTCACTTGTTATTTACAGTAAGATAAATACATTCACCAACTTTTATTAAAATAAAACCATTTAAACTGGGTGTTCGGATTTATATGTCACTTAGTATATGTAAAGTTAAGACCAGTTAAATGAGGCTGATACACCTGACCCAGAAGACGACTTACCACTCAATGTATTTTCAGATATACTCAAAAATAAGGATTTATTTAAATTAACTGATTTTCTGAACCTAGATGAACGTATTCAGATTCAGGCCAAGAAATTGAAAATCCGGTTGGAATACAAGAACTTTCCGAAAATTCTGATGTCGATGAGGTTCCAGTACCAACAGAAGCTATTCCAAATTAATGTAAAGCTATTACCTTGACCAAGCAGCTCAAAAGTTTTGTCGAAAATCAGGAAGCTACAGAGTCTTTCTAAATTAGAAATACAATTTCAAAACGCCATTTTAAAGAGAAAGAGGAGACAAACGACAATATAAATGTCCTTAAATAGACTTTTTATTTCATTGTTTTGTGTTACTACATGAATACGTACATATTTATCATACTTTGTATATATCTAAAGGTAACATACCTTTTTTTCAAGTTTAAAGTTACTTAATTTCAAAAGCATTCATGTATAGTATAAGTCAACCTATTTTTTTCAAGTGGAACTGTATCTTTTTGGCGTCACCGACGAAAAGAGTGGAAAACTTTGCATTCTGAAATGACCTTGAAGTGGTTCAGAGATTAACTGATTCCAAGGTGACATCAGACACCAACTTTTCCGTCGTTTCCACCTGTGGGCCATTTTAAATGTCCAAGTTGATCTCAAGATGTCCTTGAAGGTCACCTTCAAGGTCATAGTCAACATCACGATTACTTTTACCTCTTTCTTCGTTTATGCAGTATTTCCTGTGATACAAACCTTTGGAAGTTGAATGTCTTTTATTAACTGGCATCTGCACTATGGAATCCGTCTCCACAGCACACTTGTCCAGTTCCTGAGTTGGCTTGGTAGACAAGATCTCATTCACAGCGTACGAAATATTCCTCTGCACATCGTCGATCCTAGCCTCTTTAACCTTGCCTCTCAGCTTGTTAGTTTCTGTAGAGTACTTGGCGAGATCTTGAACCATCTGCTCCTGCGCGGTCTTGGAGAGGCTCCTCGTAGAACCCCGTAGACTGGATCGCAGCGAGTAGACTTCGCGATTTATGGAACGAAGTCTTTCGGAAGGTTTCGCATGCTCGTTGCCCATTTTGCTTCTGCAAAAGAAGTCGTCGTTCAAGTTTATAGTTATGGGTTTCATTTGCATTTAGATGTCTCGACTAGCCGTGTTACAAGACCGGGGTTGTGATGAAGATATCAACGTGAGGGTTACCTTGTCGAGACAGTGGGGTGCGAGATTTTAATTCTGACACCAAATATAAAAACCGGAAGTTGGCATTATTCGTGAAAGAAATTCGTGCCATAGTCGGCACACTTTATACTGATAATAGTAATATTTATTTGGTCCTGAAACACAATACAAAGAATGAGTAAATAAATATGAAGTAACGGTAGGATGTATTGCCTGTACATGGACCATTGATGTTGCAATTGCACGTATTATTGAATTATGAATAGAGTTACAACTAATCAACGCATTATTTCATGTTCACATTTACTATTAGTTTATATACAGTAATGGACAAAAGTATATAGACAAATATGAATATTTACCTAAATACCTTTAGAAAACAAATTCATACTTCATTGCTCCATAAACAAATGCGTTATTAGTAGAAAAACTGAACTCCTTGTTTTTACATTATCTGCAATGAACACAATACAAGTCTGAATAAAAGCACAATCACAAAAACATGTAGACAAATTCTTTTCAACATTAGTACAGTTTCGTTTCAGAAGAGCGATTAGTTTGTGTTCATCAAGTATTGTGGAATAAGTTGAGTGATTTTAAGACCATGCCGGGTGGTCCAGAAATTTCTTTCGATGTGAAAACTAAGATCATTGAGTTATACAAAGATGGTCAACGTCAAGTCGACATTGCCAAAAATTTGAAGCTGAAGCGTAAAGCAGTGTGGGCAATATTGAACAAATATAAACAAAAAGGTATCTTCGAATCCCCTAAGAGAAGTGGTCGGCCTAGAAAACTAAATGCTAGATCAGTTAGATTAATGTGTATTAATAAAATAAGTTAAAAAACAAATACAGCACAATATTAATTTGTCTAAATACTTTTGACCATTACTGTACGTCTGGCGTTATTAGAACAAAAAATCCATTCTTTTTTTTTTAAATTATTCCCAAGGCGCAGGTAAAGTTATGTATATATGTAATTTTGGACCTATACTCTGGGCGCTGAAGAAAGACATTAAACGTAGACAGTGATCAGCACGTGAACAGATCCCTCGAAAGCATCCACGGATATACTCCAGTCACTTTAGGTCTAAACTTCCTCGGCAGTGTATTTCTAGTGAATCCACAGACCCTTTTTCGTGTCATCTTGAGACTAGAAAAAGGATGACTGTTAAAATAAGTTACCTTGATCTTTCATGAGCTCCCAGTACAAAACATCATCGATATATTTTTGATGTAGGAACAACAAATTGGTTTAGAAAACATCCACTTTGAACCTAAATTGACTGGAGTAACATCGATCTACAGACAAATTCAAGGTCACTAGCAGTCGTCGGCGCTCTACGAATCTGCACAGGTTTGGACTTGTAAACGTGATTGTAGATGACACGACAGGCATCTAACAGTTAATTCACGCACAGGATTGCATTGCATACGCATTACGCATTCAGTAGCGTATACTCGTTTTTCGCGAGTGGAACGTTTTGTTTATATATTGCCTAAGATACGATGTCTGACACAGATACAGCCGACGAAGTGGTTGACATCAGCGCAACCCCACCCAAAAAAAGGGCTAAGAAGCTACATTTAAGTGCAAATGAAAAACAAATAATATTAAATATATACAAAAACCCAGTGTTTATAGGATCATTAAGGAATATAGGAGCACTCACTCACTTTCTGAGCCAAAACCGTATCCTGCAAGAAAAAGGATAACGGACGGAGTAGATGACTTTGACAGAACTGCCATCAGGAGGAAAGTGCATAATTTTTTCTTCCGAAATGAGATACCTACAGTAGATAAGATATTAAGATTAGTTAATGCTGATGAGGATCTTCCATCATTTAAAAGAACCACATTCCGAAAACTTTTGAAGGAACTTAATTTTCGATTCTTGAAACGGGGAAGAAACAGTATGTTAATAGAGAAAGAAGAAATTGTTGTGTGGAGAAGGGAATACCTTAGGAAGATTCGGAAGTTTCGCGATGAAAAAAGAAAAATTTACTATTTGGACGAAACGTGGGTGAATGCTGGACATACTCAAGCGAAAGTTTAAGACGACAAATCAGTAACATCATCAAGGCAGGCTTTTCTAGACGGTCTTTCGGCTGGATTGAAACATCCTGCAGGTAAGCTCCTTCATCTATCCGGCAATTTAATTTTGATAAATTCGGGCAAATAGTATGCTGTGATAGCAGATAATGTGTGATATTCTCCAAAAATGGTGCATTCGCAGTGTAGTCGTTAGGAAAAAAACTTCGACCCTCTTTTAAGCGTTATTTTGAAATTTATTATCATTTTTGGGTGCAGTCAATTTGCTTTGAATGGGTTTTGAGAAGTTGCAAACTTCAATTTTCTACGTTTTTCAGTTTTTGATCAGCATTCCGTGACTCTTAAATTCAGCTAAATGAACTCAATTGCCTCATTCCTTCAAATTTAATCAATCCATAGTGTAAGGAATAATTTATTTCCAGGAAAAGGCAAACGGCTGATCATTTGTCACGTAGGTAGTGAAGACGGCTTTGTTCCCGAAGAACTGTGGGCCTTTGAATCAAAAAAGACAGGGGACTATCATGAGTAGATGGACGGCAATTCCTTTGAAAATTGGTTCTCCAAAATGTTACTAAAGCTGGAGAATAACGCTGTTATTGTACTGGATAATGCCCCGTACCATTCTAGAAAAATAGAAAAAATTCCCACAATGGCAACTAAAAAAGCAAACATACAACAATGGCTGGCCTCAAAACAGATCGATTTTGATGAAATAATGGTCAAGGGTGAATTGATAAGTATAGTCAATAGACATAAATACAAATACGATTTTAAAATGATCGACGAAATGGCCAAAAAACAAAATAAAACTGTCTTGAGACTGCCACCCTACCATTGTGAGCTGAACCCTATTGAGCTGATTTGGGCCAACATAAAGCAATACGTGGCGTCGAATAATAATACTTATAAATTTTCTGATGTTAAAAATCTCTTTCACATCGCAGTCAATAGAGTTACGGCAGAGGAATGGAAAAACTGTATCCGCCACGTTCGGGAGAAGGTTGAGGTCAAAATGTGGGATTTGGACAATGTCATCGATACCCAAATTGAACCTCTAATAATTCATTTAAACGATTCAGAAGATTCAAGTTCCTCTTCTGAATGAGTGCGCGCAGCTTACTTACTAATAACTAAAAAGTGTAGTTAACTCATTTGTGAATCTCTAACTGAAATTTGCTGTAAAAGATAATAATTATCTTGTATGAAATTTTTGATGACTACCCATAATATCTTGATGCGGTCCTGTAATGTCTCCTGCGCCTAAACACTCACTCACGAGCAATATGCGTGTATTTGTTTGGGTTTAGTTTCTTTCTTCAGCGCCTAGAGAATAAATATTTATTTGGTCTAGATACAACTGTTCCTCTTAGTTTGTGTTTAAATTTTTCGTCGTTACTGATAAATTTGTGACAGCTGATTATAATATGTAGGAGGTAAAGCTGTTCCAAGTCATATACTCGTACATGTGCATCTTTAGATACAATTTTGGTTTGTTAAACATTGTTTTTGAAATCATTTTTAGAAAAATATCCAAAATGAGTCGAGCATGTAGCTCCCAATATCCCGAAGGTTAAATAAGGCGCGATCAAGGTAAGGCATAAAGTATAGAGATATTTTTCGTTTAAAATGTTTATGATATATTTAATTTTATACGATACATATCTAACTTTTTTTTGTTAAATATATACCTATGTTATGTAATTTGTAGTGTCATATCGTTACACCCTGACATGTTCAACTGTTCAATTTATCTAACTATTTATGAGCTTCATCTCAAAACAAATTAATTACCAATTTAAATGGGAACATAAAATGATTAAACATGGACATAATTATCCTGATTAGTTTTCGCTAGTAAATTAATTTCCAGGAAGGATACCCCATTACAATAAATATTGAAAATGGGATATAGAATAGTATTTAACCTTTAGCCGTTACGTACGACCAAAGGGTAGGGGTAGGTTAGGTAGAGCCCTTCACTCTTGGAAGTCGAAACTCGCAAAATCTCACATGGGAGAGAGGGCGCTCGAATAGTATCACGTGTTACTTCCCACGCCACCGGTGAGGAAGCACGGCAATCGCAAAAAAATCGAAAATGAGATACTGAAGCGTTTTTCTCGGTTCTTTTGGGTGTGGATTAAAACACTGGATTCCACAAAAATAAATGTACTGATTCATTTCACTTGATAGAACATTTATGTCTGACTAATTCTTATGTTGCCATTGACTGCACTATACTCCACTCCGCTCTGCTAGTCTACCGTATTCAGTACTCTCCTCCCATCTCCCGGCCGCCGAGTTATATATAGTCCCCATTGCTGCTTCGAGAAAGGTCTGGTGAACAACAAAGCGACATCTAGAATATCGGCGGTCACTTCGCGTCGATCTACAAGGTGAGTCACTGCCACGGTCCCCCCAGGCGCCGTCAAGCGGCTTGTACGTAAATGTTATCTGACAGTCAGATTGGCCTGTCTACATCTTGGAAAGTACGATGAAATTCACAGGGAACGTTACTACTAAGCCATGGATAAAAAAACTTAATCGTTTCTGAAAATAGGTCCAGTGGCGGCTGGAGAAAATCAATACCGCTCAAACTCATTAATCTTAGACGTTTCAGAAAAAAATGTTGGTGCCCAAAATGGTAGTTGCGCAGGGTACATCTCCATTTTGTGGCGTTAGTATATTGATACTCTTACAAACCTGGATATACGGCTATTGAATGACTTGCTCAGCTAATTTTACTTTAAAGAATATCTGCGGGCTTCATATTTCATTCATACTTTAATAATGATCAAATATATATATAATAATAATAATAATAATAATGCCTTTATTAACTGCAGTGAGGCGAAGTTTAGCCAGACAGCTACTCTTACACTCAACCCCACAACAGGAAAAAATAATACTTAAACACATAAACAAAATAATAACATACCAAAAAAAAAATACAATTCATAAGAATGACAACATTGATTGCACGAGACAAATGCAGATAGTATTGCGAGAGTTTTAAA